ACGGATGAAACCAATCCGAATATAATATTATTAGAGGAGGATCCTCCTCCATGTGGATCCTATTGGACATGGAATCACCTCTTGTAGAATCCAGGATCCCCGGGGCCACCTGTGACTAGCCACTGCGATGCCGCGCTGAGCCCTGCTGGCCCCTTCTAAGCCCTGCTGTGCCTAGTCGGACCCTGCCAGGCACTGCCAAGCACTGTGGCCCTCTGCTAGGCCCTGATCAGTTGTGCTAGCCCCCTGCCGGGCTCAGGTAAGCCTTGCTAAGCCCTATCCCGCCCTGATAGCCCCTGATTTGCTTTGCTGAGACGTGCCACTAGTTGCTAGCACCTGCTAGCCCTGTTGAGCTCTGCCAGCACCTCGATAATCTGCTAAGCCATGCGATGCCTGCTAAGCCGTCTGGAACCACATCAAATATAATAGCATCAGATATGAACCCATTGCGAATGAAATCCTATAAGCGGTGGGTTCACCTCTAACAAGTTTCCCAAGGATGAAGCAATATGTCGTGCAATCCGAACAAGGAAGGGCTCAACTCTTATATAATTCCATGAGAAGTGGATGCGCCTCTATTGGGATCCCCGAATGGACGGGGCCACGGGTAATTGATTTGCATGCAGTATGGCTTCACCTTCTATTATAATCCCATCAGAGGTGGATCCGGATCCAATAGAACCCCATGGAGGATGGAAGCATCTGGGGTATACTCGTATTTGATGTGGATGCACTTCTATTTGAATCTTATGAGGAAGGAACCAGTTCTAATGTAATCATTCTTAAGCCCTGCTAAGCCCCTGGTGATCGCTGCTACGCCTTGCCCCGCTAAGCTTTGCTAGCCATTGCGATGCCGTGCTATGCCCTGCTGGCCCCTGCAAAGCTTGGCTAGATCTGGCCACGCCCTGCCAAGCACTGCTAAGCGCGGCTAAGCCCTGCAGCCCTTCTGCTATGCCTTGGCAAGGTCTGCGAGCCACCTGCCAAGCCCAGCGAAGCCTTGATAAACCCGACCAGGCCCTTCTAGGCTCTGCTAACCCCTGATATGCCCTGATGACACTTTCCAATCGCTGCTAACCCTGCTAGCCTTGCTGGGCTCTGCCAGCACCGTGCCGCCTGCCAAGTCAGTCGGAGCCAAACCGCATATAATCTTATCAGGCATGGATATTGCCTATGGAATCCTAGTACGGAGGGAGCAGTATGTAATGCAATCCGATAAAGGAAGGATTCAGCTTTAACAGGATCCCATGCGTGGTGGATCTACTTCTACTGGGATTCTGTTATGGGCGGGGTCGCGTTCAATTGATTTGCATGCAGTGTGGCTTCACCTCTAACAGAATCCTCTTAGACGGGGATGCACCGCCAACGTAATTCCATGAAGGATGGAAGCATCTGGAATTTTTTTTTTACGTGTGGATCCACTTCTGTTTGAATCCATTGGGGAACGGAACCGCATCTAATATAATCCTTCTAAGGGGTGGATCCAGTGTTCATCAGAGTCAATTGGAAGTGGATGCGGCCTAGCGTTATTAAACAATCGGACGCAAAGAAAGGCCAAACCGCCTGCACTACATTTTTTAAGGGTGGAGATATCGCACACAAGTGAGTACCAGAGGTAAATATCCAACGGGCGAATTCTAATTGGAATGTCGTGCAAAAGGGACTTATTTTGGAACATACGCAGTACAAAGCAATGTTGAATTCACGGATTCCGCAAGGAACTCTAACTGTTACCCACACACTAGAATTTAAGTGTAAACCGCCCACAAAAAAAGATCCGATTGAAAAACCGCGCAACAAGGATTCTATGTGCAATCCGCACAATAGAAATCAATGTGTAAACCGCCCACAAAAAAAGGAAAACCATTGAAAAGCCGCGCGCACCGATCTTATGTGTAATCCGCGCAACAGGCTTCTTTTTGTACATTGTTTACGCAAAGGACCACCTTTGAAAGGGAGCCAAAACACGTTTTGGACCTTTCGGAAAACAACAAAAGAACAAGCAACAACAAACCGTCGCCCCCTTTATTTTTTGTTTTTTGTTCGCGCCCGCCCCGCCCCCCCCAAACATATACAAATGAACGGGGGGATCATTTTCTTCTTTGGGCCTCCATTTCAACAAATTCTTTTCGTGGGTGATTGACACATTGATTCTTAGTGTGTAGATTACACTTATAATACTTTTGCGCCGCTTTTCAATAGGAATTCATTTGTGAGCGGATCACAAACCAAATTTTCATTGCGTGGATTACACATAGAATCCTTCTGTGCGGTTTTTCACTCGGATTCCTCTTGTTGGCGATTATCACATGGGAGTCTATGGTGAAGATTCGAACAACAAACAGAAAACCATTGCCCCCTACCTTCTTTTCCTCCTCCCCCGCCCGGCCCCGATACAAACAAAAAAGAACATGGAGGTTTTTATTTGTCCGGCGATCCACAACTTTTTGTGGCCTCCATTTGAAGATTTTTTGTGGGTGATCTATACATTGATTTCTATTTTGTAGATTACACATAGAATCGATTGGCGCTTTTAAGATGAGAGAAAAACGAAACATGAATAAGTGAAAATACACAAGTCGAGTAGCCAAACAACTTCCAAAGCATTGACATACACCACGACAGTGGTCCCCAAATCGTCCCAGATTTCCCCCTTACCCCCCTCTCCTGCTGCTCGCCTCCGCCCCATCCACAAGCGCGCTCGCCCCCCCCCTCCCGCTCCCATCCAGAGAGGCGGCCGGCCCGGAGGCGATGGGGCGGGGTCGGGGGAGGGGGCGCGGGGGGCGGGGGAGGGGAGGGGGGGAGGGGTAGTGGGAGATCGACTGCAGAATTGATTTGCCGCGCGTCCCTCCCCGCCCGCTTCCAGAGAGGCGGCCGAGGAAAGACAGGAAATGGAAGGAGAAGAAGAAGAAGGAGGAGGAGGAGCAGGAGGAGGAGGAGGAGGAGGAGGATGAGGAGGAGGAGGAGGAGGCGGAGGAGGAGGAGGAGGAGGAGGAGGAGGAGGAGGAGGAGGAGGAGGAGG